CACGGTTCTGTGTGCAGACGTAGTCAAGAGCTGCACAAGCTAGGTGGCGACAGTTGCACCCAGTTCTTGGAGCTCTCTCAAACCTAAACCGAAATTGGTCAATAATATAGCTTTTTGAAACTTTTATTCTGTGAACCAATTCTATCCATTTGGTTTGACGAATTTTCTTTCACCAACAAAGGCAAAGAAAGTATTGTCAGAGATGGATGCCACTCTCATGAAACTTTCGCATAAGTGAAAGCAAAGCTATATTTCTCGCCTCCGGAAAGACTTGGGAGCTCTGTCTTGCTACTAGCATATCTTCACATCCTGCGCATTCTCTTTGCTTGAATTGAACCATTTCATACTCTTCACTGCATTCGAACTGCGAATTTCCAACAGTATTTAATAGCATTCACATCACCTATGTTGGCAACATTGGTGCGTGCATGCAGGTCTTAAAAGACTCCAGGAAATGTATCAGTCTAGACGTGATGATGTTGGATGACTTCGCCCGACAGCAAAAGCTAATTACATTTGTTATCGTTTTTGTGTGAAGGTTACATATAGAGTTGTGCGTACCTGACATGTTTTCACTACTTTCCTAGGTAGGCCGAGAATGACTTTTAAAAATGTTGCGGCTTTGCTTTAAAGGCAAAACTCGCACAGTGCTGAGACAACTGCATAAAGTAAGACTTGTACTTTTATGAGCAATACGTATTGCAGTAAGCAGTACTAATTGATGAGCATAATGTTGCACATACGTTGGAAAATATGAACACGTCTTGTTCATTGACCAGGAACACACCGCCAAGACGCGGCTGTCCTGGGGAGTGCTGTTAATAGAAAAAAAAACATATAGTAGGAGCTTTGCACTAGTGGCATCAAGCCTGCAGGAAGAGCCGAGCTCGGTGGCCTTCTTTGTTTTTCACACCTTTTTTTCTTTTCTCTCTCTTATCTGTTTTTTTGTAGCTATTGCATTCTAATTTTTTCCATTTTTATATGTTTATTTCTTTTTATTCCTCTCTCTCTTTTTGTCTTTTTCTGTGCTCTGTTTTTTCTATCTTTTTTTTCGTGTCTCTTTCTCTCGCCTTGTCTTTCTCTCACCCGCCGTGGTGGTCTAGTGATTATGGTGCGCCAGTGCTGATCCGCAGGTCGCGGTATCAAATCCCGGCCACGGCGGTGTAATTTTCGATGCAGGTGGAAATGCCTGAGGCCCGTGTACTTAGATTAATGTGCACGTTAAAAACTTTAGGAGGTTGAAATGTCCGCAGCCCTCCACTACGGCGTCCCTCATAATGATATCGCGCTTTCAGGACGTTGAACTCCAACAATGCCTTTTGTGCTTTTTTTGTCTGTCTGTTTTTTTCTTTTTTCCTGTCTGTTTCTTCCTCTTTCTCTGTATTTCTATATTCCTCTTTCTATCTATACCTCATTCCGTGTCTCTCCGTGTTTTATACTTTTATGCCCTTATTTCTCTAGATTTCTCTTCCTTTTGATTTCTTTCTCTGTCACTCTTTCACGTGTTTCTTGTGCTTCACAAATTTCAACAAAGCTTTCAACAAATATTCTCTTCGGTACCCTGGTACGTGATGTGTGTCAAATGGTACAGCCGTTATTCATTTAGTTCCCAGAAAAAAAAAATGGTTGAAAAATTTGGTAGCCGATTCTCAAATCACGCCTGTAAACGCGGCCTGCCCTGTGTATGTGACTTGACGTGCCCTTCTAATCTAACTCCGCATCGTCCAGCACACGGATGCAGCGCACTCTTTTTTCTATGTGGCGTTGACGACGCGAGCACATTCGTTCGGTTTTGCGAGCTGCATAGCCTGTTAGTCATCGTTGACGTCGGGTCCTACAGTAGGTATTGAGCGACGAGGTGGTCTACGTGGGACACATCAGCAACAGCACGTGCCAGTGCATGGAAATTAAAAAGGCCATATTTCAGCTCTCAGTAGCTGCAATATCGCTGAACTTCTCACTGGTAAGTACAGAAGGGCTGGCACAGCATGGCTTCGCGTCGGATGACGTCGCCAGCTTACTTTTCGCGTGGTAGAAGATGCACGTGTGCTATGTTTACACACTGGCTAGCCGTGGCAGCGTGTAACGTATTGCGTGAGGCCTACCCAGCACGGAGCAGCTCCTTGTTATGGGTTTCAGTTTTGGTTCATATCTCTTATTGCTTATATAAAATTATCGACGAGCCTCTCAGTAAAGTGAATCAACCTAACTGTTACAGAATTCTTTATATTATTTGACAATGGCATTGCGGTATGGTCGAAAAAGCATCGCAGTCCCATTTAACGCTCGCATTTGCTGTAGTCGGTAGTGGCGCATTATCACATGCGGTTTGCTGCGGGCACCTAGTTTATACGAACGGCTCTCGCTCTTGAGAAAGAAAAAAAGCTTTTTGCACCCGCGTTTTGCTTCAGTGCACCTTTGAAGGTGATGGTGCACGATCATCCAAGGCTAAGCATTAAAAAAAATCGGTGCACAAAAGGTCACCGGACATTCTGGCTTGCTGAGCATTAGCGCCCTCAAAATGCGGCACATGGGCTTTGTGTTCACTGGATCGCGCAGTCACTCATGCACATCGACGGGCCAGGTTCGAGGATGAGACTTGTATGATGATGCTACGCTTTTTTTTTTACGACAGCACGATGCATGTGCCCTTCCACTGACGGAAAAGTCTCAGAACGCTTGTTGATCTCTGAGGCTTTCATTTCGGCAATATCGGTTGTCCCGCCTCCTACCAAAACAGAGGACAGCACAGGAAAGTTTTCCTTTGTCATTTGACCGTATGCATTTTTGACGTCACTTCCGTGACGGAAATACGTCACTGAAGTTTCAGTGAACTGCGACATTAAACTCTTTCGTGTAAAAATGTTTTGCGGGAGAGGGAAAGCGGGATTGGCTCTCCCGACTATGCCATGTCTCCTTTCTTTCACGTTTCCTTTCTTGCGCTCTCTCTCTGTTTTGTTTTTCACATATGTCATCTTTGTCAACTGTGCATAACTGCTCTGCACGAACGAAGTTTTCAAACTTACAGTTCACTGATGCCTTCGTGGAAGAGGGCGTGCGTCGGTTGGCCGACGTGCTCATAGATGTTGCTCGACTGTGGACCAACCGCGCTCTAGAGCTCATTAGCGTGGACTCTACGAGGATGTCCACAAGGAGCTCGTTCATAGGCTACAAGATGGCTACAAAAAAGTTGAAAATACAGCGTTTACTTGAGATCACGTTCTCATAAATGCAGAAGAAGTGGCTAATCCATATGGAGGCGAAGCAAAGACTTGATGTGTGTGTAGAAGGGTCTGTGTGCAATGGATACAGTTATCATGCAAATGCTCATGTTGTGGTCGTCGGACTCGAAGGGTGCCTGGTATACATGGCTATTGGCATAGACGTGCGTGGTCCTCTTTTAGGGGGAGCCAAGCTTTACATCAGTGCCTCTCCCCCACTCCTCATCCTATTGGTCGGCTCCGAAGGATAACGAACTACGCAATGGATGCAAAATGGAGTGATGACGTGCTTCTCCCAACGGCCTTCCAACAGTGAAAGGTAAATAGCTCTAATAATATTGCAACATCAGGAGTACTCGGCCACCATTGTTGCTTAAAAATCGGTGTGGCTAAAGTCCTGCATCTTATATATAACGGAACAGGCTCTGTACTGATCAAAGATACGGGGCATGCTTGGCACCCCATTTAGACGAATAGGATGGTCTGTCCTCCTCTCCGTCCTTCCTATGCACACGGCTATTGGCTCTTATCCGAAACATATATGATCCTATTGGCCGATATAATCCTATTGACAGGCGCAAGCATTCTCATTTTCACCACAATTCTTCCCGAGATATTTGTACTTCGTCTCTGAGAAAACAAAGCAAGTAATAAAAGCCGTGCGAAATTGAAGCAGACCAAGCTGTGCACCTTTTCATTCTCATTTTCAGTACAATTCTTCCCTAAATATTTGTACTTCGTCTCTGAGAAAACATAGCAAGTAATAAAAGCCGTGCAAAATTGAACCAGACCAAGCTCTACACCTTTTCATAACATCATCGACGTTGGTTCGTGGAACAACTGCAGTATCCGAAGCTGCACAAGCGTGCGGCCCTTCGGCTACAATTCGAAAATGTCATTAACAATGACATCTTGAAACGGATATACAAACGCATCCATCTGTAGCAACCATAGGCTGGCGCCAGGTTCCCCATCAGGAAAGGGCCAAGCTTCATCTCAGTGTTCATCGCTCCCCGTTTAGATCGAGTCCAAGAGCCAACATGCTTCGCAATGATGGCAAAATGAAGATGAAGCTATCAAGTGCTTTTTCACAATGGTCAGCCTCCGGTCCTTGGCCTTCCGAGAGTGAAGATAAAGAAGTGCGCGGTTCTAGGAATGCAACACCTAGGACATTCAGGCGTCAATATCCTCAAAAAGCTGCATGCCCAGAAACCTGCTCTTTAAAGAAGGGCGGAGCAGATGTGAGGTGATTTCGCGACCTACCCTTCCCTGCCTTCCGTGCTCACGTCCATGTGGCAGTGAATGCATCTTCAGCAACGACACACGTTCAAAAGAACGTCGCCTTCTCAGCCTGGCAACACGTGAACGAAAACGAGAGTTGCGGCAAGTTCCAGAAAGAAAGTGACATTTCGACGTCGCCACAGAGCCAGCGCTGGCTCCCCGGGGGAGGGGTCAGAGACACCGCGTGCATCCCGTCCAACGGAACGGTAAGTGTTCCGCGTATCAGTGGCTCTCCGTCCTACGGAGTAAGTAAGTCTGTCGCGTGTGCCGATGTCAGCGACTGCGTACGGCGCGTGGCCGCCCCTGCAGCAACGTGGTAATCAGTCCGGGCTAGGGTTTCACCCGCGGCCGTTCTGTTTGCGTCCGGTGCAAGCTTTCCTCGTCGACGCTATTTTTCGGATCGCTTTCCGTAGCCAGCGCTTCAGCGACGTCGACGTCGTGATCGGCGTTAGCTAGCGCGTGGCAAGAACCAGCCAGCCACCGCGCCTGTCCGCCATAATGGGGTAAGTGACTTGAAAGTTGATGACGGATCTAACCGTCGAAATCGGGTCTTTTCTGTGGATCATCGACTACAAATACAATCCTGTGGCCTCTAATCAACATGGAGCTTGTGAGGGGCACCGAAGTGGGAGGCTCACGGCTCGAGCTTGGCCCAGCTCTGCTGTATTTTCTTCATCGGGCACCTAAACCGAAGCACACGACCGTTTACTTGCATTCCGCTTGAACCTAGTGTGACTGTCGCGACCGGGAAACGAACTTACGACCTTGTGTGTGGAAGCAGTGCCCTGCGCGTATGGCTAGTGGAGCACTCAGAGAAGTCATAGAACACGGATTACGAGGTTTTCCGCGAGGGTGTGGGCGGAATTACTGTGCACCTCTTCCGCCGCCTTGCCTCATCAGCTTCTTGGAGCTGGTGGAGGACGTGGTCCATATATGGTAGTACAGTAATGGTCCATATGCTCGTACCATATGTTGGGCTACGTCTAGCTTGCAACACATGAATGTATTACAAGTAAATATCTTAATTAGTCAGCGGCTACATTTCGATAGGTGGCAAATTCAAAAACGCTTATGTTCTTAAAACTTGGTTGCACGTGCAAAGTTTCCAGGTGATTAGTATTAATGCGGATGTCGCCAGTACGCCGTTTACTTCGTAGTACGGTATTGCTTCGTAACACTATGGAGTTTTTTTTTACCTTGTATACGCGTGGAAGGTCGTCATAGCACCATGTTTGTATAAAGTGTGAATTGAAGTGCGCTCAAAAGGGTTGTGGCTCGGGCGAGTTGGTTATTCATGAACTTAACTTATGTTAGCGTGGCACATATGGAAATGAAAAGGGAAATATGACAGAGATGGCTTAGAAAAGTTGGCGCTAAACTTCCAACTGTTTATTTCATTATGGGCAGTACCAGCGCACAAACTCACGGGACGAAGAGAAGAGACACTTGTGTCTCTTCTCTTCGTCCCGTGAGTTTGTGCGCTGGTACTGCCCGTAATGTATCACCAACTAGCCCAACTATCAGTCCTGCTTCTGTTTATTTCATGCCCTTGACATCCATCTTTGTTGTGGGTGCTCCCCTGATCTGTACAGCTGCACCGTTATCGGCCAGTCTCGCAATCAACTGACCCGTGAAATCAAAGAAGCTGTAGCTGTAGCCGAAATGGGAAACTTGTGTGTTAGTTCACCATCAATTGCACTGACGGATAAAGAAATGACGTTTCTTGAAATGACACCACGGGTAAGATTAGTTGTGTTTTTAGTCAAGTATAAGATGTATGTGAAGGGCATGAAATAAACAGTCGAAGTTTAGCGCCAACCTGTCTAGACATCTCTGTCGTCTTGTCCTTTTCATTTCCATATGTGCCACGCTAACGCAAGCTAAGCTCATGCAGTGTGCTATAATTGACTGTTGTTGACGTCGTTTTATGAGGGAACGTACTCTTGTGTCTTGCGTAAGCCTACAATTCGTTTTCCTCGGGGCTGGTGGTATTATATATCTCGGTTATTGTGAGAAAAAAATTTAGTTTCCACGCCTGCTTTCTGTCTACTCTTCTCCCCCTGTTCCTGGTGTAGGTAGCAAACTATAGAACCTTCTCTTCCGGTTAATCTGTATTGCCCTCATTTCTGCTTCTCTTAATTTCTCTTCTTAAAGTGTTGTAAATGTTAGTGATCGTGTTCGCATATATGGATTATCATAAGCATATATGTAGCATTTTGTAAGCATATATGAATGAGAACTGACGCGCAACACAAGGAGTTTGGAAGAGTCACGACACAAGTGCACCGTTAAACTGTTTTGTTGGAGTTACACGTAGGCCCAGCGAGCAGAGAGGGCTGCTTTGGAAGGGGGAGTCACATTCGTGAAATTTTCTGTCGGTAAATACGCGCATTTTCCCTCTTCCCACACTCTGCAAAAGTATACTGTGACTACGTTTGCATTTCATAATCTCGGTATGTTTAGGGCCTTAGGACAGAAACGTCTATGGCAAAGATAAAGGCTCTGTGTGTTACCTCCATAGCTGGAAAAAAGCAAACAAATAGTGCAAGGATAAAAGGAGAGACAAAAAAGAAACCATTGCTATAAATCATCGCACTGACTTAAACGCAACGTCATCTTCAACCCTCCCCTACCCCTGTTAATCGAGTCCCAATCAAAACGAGCTCCACAGTAATAATGCAAAAATGAAAGGAGGTGATCAAGTGCTTCTCACAAAGGACTGCAGCTGGTCCCCTGCTTTCCGGGTCAACTGTTAAAGTAATCAGTTCTTTGCATGCAACATGCAGGCGTCATTGGTTGCCCATATTGTTAAAATTATCTTCAGTCATAAACTTGCGCATTAAAACAAAAAAAAATGGTGTGAAAGGTTTGAATGCAACAAAACGCGGGGCAGAGTTGGCGCCTTCCTTCACAGGAACGAACGAGCAGCAACAGCAACGTTACGCAAGTCGCGTTTTTTTTTTTTTTTTGCCTCAACGCGTAGCTTTCAATCCCCTACTAACGGTTCGGTACCAATAATGCAACAGGGAGACAAATGAATATATGTTAGATCGATTAGTATGACAAGTATCGAACCCAATTCAAGACGGCTGCAAAGCCCGCCAATTTTTAGCACTTCCAATCGGTGCCTCCTCATCTGATCACGTGGCCACACGAAATGGTGACGCGATCTTCGGTTGACATTTCGTCTGCTCGGCGCGTATGTCTTCACTGCTTCAGTGTCGTCGCCGCCGTCATGAGCGTACGCAAGACGATGAAAACACCGATGAATATGGACGCGCGTTAATTCGCGGCATGGCGAATCGTTTTCGGTTCGATCCTCTTCTGAGCAGCAATTCTAAAATCCATATAGGTAAAATCGACGCCGACCGGGTAGCGACGAGGCAGCTGGGTACGCACGCCTCTCCTACGTTGGCTGGTAAGACATATATGAACGCTGCATGCGCTTTACTTGTTCGCGACGACCGTGGCTTCAAATTATCACATTCGCCATCACGACTACAGCACAAATCCACCAAAGCGGCACAACGAAAATGCCGGATTCACACGAACGCGATGCACGAATCAAGCGAAAGAAAGCAAGTAAAGCCGTTGCTTGGCTTTCTTATGTGATTCTAAAAAGAAAAAGAAGAGAAAAGTGAGCCCCGTAACTGTCTGCATCAGAGTGCGACACCTCAACAGTAGTAGCTCACAAGGGATGGGGGTGAGGAGGGATTAAATAGATAAGATTAAGAGGTATATACAGAAAGAGGAAGGAGAGAGCGAGGCACAGGGACAGCGAGCGACGGAAGTAAAGAGGAGATAGGAAAGATGGACACGGTCGCAGGAGTCCGAGGACGGGGCACCACTCGACGAGAGCTCTTGTCGGCGTCAGGAGATGGCGTATAGGGCGAGCCCCGTCGGCCAGAACTGCACTGTCGTCGGAGATCGCGAGGGCACAACCGGTCGGCACGAAATCCAGCGAGCAAGTCCGTTGCTAGGCAGCCAGGCGTCGTCGCCAAACGGTACCACATGTATGCACCACGATGACGACACCAAAATTGCCGACGTCAACGTTGCTCGTTCATCGTCACTCGGTTCCCGAGGCGTTGCCTAGGAATTTGCTGAACACGTCATAATGCTGTTGAAGTATCATGGTGGGGAACGCACCGATATGCTTTGGACGCTCTTTGCAGTCGAAATAGAATAATTTAAACGTAACGGACGCGATTCATACTTCGCGAAAAAAAAAAAGAAAAAACGCTCTTACGCACCAAGCAATCGAACGAACGGCACATCTCGAGTTCGAAATTTGGTGTCACTGCTACTTTAAAGACGGGGTTACCTTTACCCCATGCACCCCTCTCCCTCGTACTCACCCCCCTAAACGGACTTCTTTTTGGGCGAGTCGGTGCCTAGGAGGATTAAAGAAAAACTCAAGAACAAGCTTTTGTGATTGGTTGGAGCATTAGACGACCCGCTCGTTTCGCTATTCGCGCTGTGCAACGACTGCTTGTTCTTTCACTGTTTTAAAACGCTTTAAAGCCGTATTAGGGCGACTGATTTCCCGACATTAAGACTTTAGTAAAAAAAGAAGAAAAAGAAACCCTCCAGGCCTGCGCGTAACGCGCAGCACAGTCACAGAATCACCGACCATTCTTAAAAGAACATTTAAAAGTCTAAACGTCGAATTCTTGGCAAATCCCAAGTGTGGGTACGTGCCCTATATCGTGGAAAAACAAAACAAAACACAGTCACAGCGAAATCTGGAAGAGTGGCCTTTCATAGCCTTCTTTGAACACTATTTGGGTAACTGCTATACGCACACTTGCAGGGTGCCCACTATGCCATAAATCATAATTTTGTATGAAATCCTTCGGAGAAGCGTGGTACCCGCTACACACTTGCAAAGAATTTCGAGCATTTTTTTTTTTTTGCTGTGACTGACGACGATGAAAAAATTGTGCCTAGTGATATTGTAATGGGATTGCACCATACCACGACCCCATCGTTACGCAATTTGCATACTGTGACGCTTGGCTATTCTTTACCTGTTCTAAAGCGTTTTATTACACACATTAATGCGATTCCTTTTCCCAATATGAAGCCTTTCTAGGGTCAGTTTGCAACGGAGTTCCATGCACCAGCGTAGCTCAGTAGTAGAACACTGGGCTGGCACGCAGCTGGGGGACCCAGGTTGAAATCCCATTGTGCCCATGGTGTTTTTTATTTACTTTCTTTCTCATTTTGCGTTATTGTGGTTACGGACACCGGCGGCGGCGGACAACTACGGGGCACGTGACGCTTGTTGTGATCTCATAACAGCTTTCGCGGTAATAAAAAAAAAGAGGGGTGGGGGGTGCAGAAGGCAAGAAAGCTAAACACCGAACTACCAAATGTTTGATGAATATCTGAGAAGCGTACAAAAAAAATAAAGACATTTTAGTGCATGCGTCAATAGCCAACACATGACGTGCAGCTACAAGTCAAGACAACATATTATTGAGTATGCTCATATCTGTCGAATGCAATGTTATAGAAGTGCCATTGACACAATCAGACCTTTTTCATTTTGATAAAGAATGCTTCCAACACAACTCTCTAGCAGGTTACTAGCTGCTTTTGCCGAGAATCAGCGCTTGATCAAAGTATGGACCTATACTGGGTGATTGCAGCGTGACCATGCACGTAGGATCTGTGCCGTAGCGAGTAAATCATGCATAGCTTTTATTATAATTCATTACAGATGCTGCACTGCAGCAAACGCCGTATTTTCCAATGTTTGCAAAATCTGCGAATCGCTAACTACATTTCTGCAGCGGGAATATAAAGTGGCAGTTAAAAAATTTTTTAAAAAGCGGTAGTTCTGTGTCCCAGAGATGCTTGATCTTGCGCAATAGGCACATTCATATAGAGTAGTATACGTATATAGTTCCGTTTTGTTTCAGTGACGGTTTTAAAAGCGTCAACCCTTTTCTTATTTCCAGACTGTCGGTGGCAACACGCGTCTTGTTGTTTGTCTCCCTTCTCTTCGCACGCAGCGCCACCAATGGCAATGCAGGTGAGCGTACCTATCATTTTCGAGTTACAGGGCAAAAGCGTCGGTTACATGAATGCAACGACTGGCGCATCGTATCGCATCGTCTTTCTGGCGCTTTGCACTCTTGTGAACGGTGCGTAATGTGCCAGGAAGATTCAACGCGTTAATGAGCCAGGAACGTATAGGGCGGATTTCGAAGGTTAAGCCGACTCGTAGGCTGTCAATCACGAGGAAGCTAACGGGGGCATACCGTTGGTGGCAACCCAACGACGAGTATATCTGGGCGAGGGAGAAAAGAAACGCTTCTCGCGAGAATTAATGTGCTGCATGTAAACATAACTGCATCGCATAACTTGTGATGCGCTAGGATAAGTGCATGAGCTACCGGCGAATTCTGTCGTACGTATTCATTTCAACTTGGTTGAAGGCACTGTTTAAAGAGCTTCTAATGTGTGACCAGCGAGGCCATTAGAATTCGGCTGTTCGAGGGCTCCCCATGACCGAAAATGTATGCTTTCTCGTGATAAAGTATACATTTCGTGATTGTGAGCACGAAGAAGTGGTGCAACCACACGACTGGTGCTTTTTGCGCCGATCAATAGATTCCAAAGCCGGTATAATCTCGTGACGAAACAGCACCGTAAAGCAAACAAACAAACACAAAAAACAAACAAAAAGATTTACAGTGTCAATTTTTATGAAAGTGAACACGGCGATGCATGGCATGCGTGCTCCGGCGGCTGCTGGCAGCGCGTTCAAGTGGGAGCGAGAGAAACCACAGCTTCTCTTCGCGTCATCTAACGGCGAGCAAAATAACCATTCGTTGCTGATATAGAACGGCAATATTGCAACCTTTCCCCCTTCAAGACGATTACGGGCTCTCGCGTAATCACCTTGAAGAAGGGAGGGGTCGCAATCTTGCCACTGGTTTCAGATCAGGAACAAACGGTTGTCTTGCTCACCGCAAGATGACGCGACTAGAGAGGGTGGTTGCTCTCGCTTCCGCTTGAACGCGCTGCCTGCAGCCACTGGAGCGTGCAGGCCACGCGCTCCCGTGTTCCCTTTCATAAAAATTGACACTGTACATGCGATAATATGCTATTTTGACGTCATTGTGGCCTCCCTATATGGTACAATCACTATGAAAAGATGCGTCCGTAACAGCATGCGAGAGCTATCTGCATCGAAACAGGGTGATTTTTGGGAAAGTTTGCAACTTACAGTAAAAAAAAAACCTCGAACAAGACTAATGATGACAACATATAAAGCACTGTAAATATCATTGTGCTAATCATAGCAGCAGACGAAGCAGGCGCTCCCGCAGACGGACCCGCAACCGAGCCTTACTCCACCAAGCAGCTCGACGCTCCTGCCGAACGTGCGGTCACCGCGGGCTTGCAGTTTCTGGCCGATGATGCTGGCCCTCCACCACCGACCGACGGCACTGGCCTGTTGACGGCCGTCGAGGAAAACCCGCAGAACGAGGAGCCCGCTGATGGACAGAATAAAGGGTGAATTTTCACTATCGGGTCGTTTTCAACTGGCGAGATCTTCGTAATTGATGAGACTATGTGTGGTTTGACGGCCCAAAACAACGATATGATTATGAGAGACGCCGTAATAGAGGGTCATTAAACATCTCAGCGCAAGAACTTCTGACAACTAACACAATACACAACTAGCACAACTGCGCTCGTCCTCGTCTCTTGTGTTAGTTGTCGGAAGCTTTTGGGCTGAGAAGTTTAATAATGCATTACCAACTATAGCCCAATACCACACTTTACTTCATTAATGAAGTAATGGAAATTGGAGTAATTGGAGTAATGAAAATTGCCGGAACCCTCCATTAATGGAGGGTTCCGGCAATTTCGGCCATCTGGTGTTCTTTGACGTGCACTGACATCGCACGGTAACACGGGCCATATTGCCTCCACCAAAACGCGACCACCGGGATCGAACCTGTGACCTGCATGTAAACATAACTGCATCGCATAACTTGTGATGCGCTAGGATAAGTGCATGAGCTACCGGCGAATTCTGTCGTACGTATTCATTTCAACTTGGTTGAAGGCACAGTTTAAAGAGCTTCGAATGTGTGACCAGCGAGTCCATTAGAATTCTGCTGTTCGAGGGCTCCCCATGACCGAAAATGTATGCTTTCTCGTGATAAAGTATACATTTCGCGATTGTGAACACCGAGAGGCGGTGCAACCGCACGACTGGTGCTTTTTGCGCCGATCAATAGATTCCAAAGCCGGTATAATCCCGCGAAGAAACAGCACCGTCAAGCAAACAAACAAACACAAAAAACAAACAAAAAGATTTACAGTGTCAATTTTTATGAAAGGGAACACGGGAGCGCGTGGCCTGCGCGCTCCGGTGGCTGCTGGCAGCGCGTTCAAGCGGAAGCGAGAGCAACCCCACTCTCTTGTCGCGTCATCTTACGGCGAGCCAAACAACCATTCGTTGCTGATATAGAACGGCAAGATTGACACCCCTCCCCCTTCATGGCGATTACGGGCTCTCGCGTAATCACCTCCTTGAATGGGGAGGGGGTCGCAATCTTGCCGCTGGTTCCAGATCAGGAACAAACGGTTGTTTTGCTCACCGCGAGATGACGCGACAAGAGAATGGGGTTCCTCTCGCTTCCGCTTGAACGCGCTGCCAGCAGCCACCGGAGCGCGCAGGCCACGTGCTCCCGTGTTCCCTTTCATAAAAATTGACACTGTACATGCGATAATATGCTATTTCGACGTCATTGTGGCCTCCCTGTATGGTACAATCACGATGAAAAGATGCGTCTGTAACAGCATGCGAGAGCTATATGCATCGAAACAGGGTGATTCTTGGGGAAGTTTGCAACTTACAGTAAAAAAAAAACCTCGAACAAGACAAATGATGCCCATATTATTTTGCTAATCATAGCAGCAGACGAAGCAGGCGCTCCCGCAGACGGACCCGCAACCGAGCCTTACGCCGCCAAGCAGCTCGACGCTCCTGCCGAACGTGCGGTCACCGCGGGCTTGCAGTCTCTGGCCGATGATGCTGGCTCTCCACCACCGACCGACGGCACTGGCCCGTTGACGGCCGTCGAGGAAAACCCGCACGACGAGGAGCCCGCCGATGGACAGAATAAAGGGTGAATTTTCACTATACGGTCGTTTTCAACTGGCGAGATCTTCGTAATTGATGAGAATATGTGTGGTTTGACGCCCCAAAACAACGATATGATTATGAGAGACGCCGTAATAGAGGGTCATTAAACTTCTCAGCGCAAAAACTCCTGACAACTAACACAACACACAACTAGCACAACTGCGCTCGTCTCTTGTGTTAGTTGTCGGAAGCTTTTGTGCTGAGAAGTTTAATAATGCATTACCAACTATAGACCAATCCCACACTTTACTTCATTATTGGAGGGTTCCGGCAATTTCGGACATCTGGTGTTCTTTGACGTGCACTCATATCGCATGGTAACACGGGCCGTATCGCCTCCACCAAAACGCGACCGCCGGGATCGAAACCGCGACCTTCAGGTCAGAAGCGGAGCACCTAAATTGGTCACTGATACGCTGTGGCGGACTTCTCATAATCATATCGTGGTTGAGGGATGCTGAACGCCAACCATTATCAGTGCAAGTATTATTCGGAACTCCGAACAGGCTGCCTACTCGCCGGGGGAGCGCGTACGGAAAAACAAATTAATCGTGTCGATGTTTGTGCGTTCGCGGCATTCCTATATAACGGTCAAGTTTGCTACCTTGTGTATCTAAGATTGCGTTGCTTTACGTCAAAAAGGCTTGAAGAGAAGCTTAGAAATTTTTGAATTCAGTCAAAGTTCGTGTTTAGAAAGGACCGGCTTTATTGTTGACAATGCCATAATTGTTTTCGCGGTTGTAGCAGCAGGAGCTTTAGAACAGGTGAAATAAAAGCTTGCCTTGTTACACCCCCGCGAGCGCACTGAGAGTGTGGGCGTGGAAACATACGTCATCTTCGTTTCCTCTAGCCCGGAGCAAGTGTTCTTTCTTATCTTCAACCACGGCCTCCGTGACTAACCCATGACGCGCCGTTGCCGGAACTAATCGAAGAGGCCACACTTCAGCAGTGCTGCTGTTGTAGATGGCGCGGAATATATCGAGAATGACGTCACCGTGTTCGCTCGGCGTCTCAAGATGCGCGGCGACCACAGCCACTGTTTTTTTCACCAAAAAGTCCTATTGGCGTTGACTTTTGAGAACTCGCATCGCTTTTCTAATTCGGCAAGGGTCAAACTATCCTTACACGCTCCTATAGTAATTTTTTAGAAAAGTGCTTCAACTTCCCTTTAAGCAAAACGTCTGGCTTAGCCAGTGCCAGTCACGTACACTTTCCATATATATTAGTGGTATCGCAAAGATCAGTGGTGCCCATCTCGAGTGCTCGAACGCGCACGCATGATCGGCTCCAACGCGTGCGCACACACAGCGGCTCACATGCCTTATCGACCCAACCCTTCTGTCACAACGCTAAGATGGTCCCATTGGATGGGCCTTCTGGTGCCAGACCACTCCAGAGCCACTAAGGGGCAAGGCATCCTTGCTAATACGACCACGCCGACAAGCGGCGGCCTGTTCGGCTTCCAAGTTATTCTACCAGTACTCGTTTGGTAGCCCTTTACATAGCAATGGGGCTGAAGAGACACAAGGAAAAGGAAACATAAAAGAAGTAAATGAAAAGCAGTTTCTGTGAGCACATCTGTGGAGATATATGCGAAGGGTTAACATCCGCAAGCGTTAGTATGAATTTCTATGACGCAGTGAAGTTCTTGTCTTGTACAAGGTTGCTTTGGTCGTGGCCCTTACAGAATAAAAAAAAAACTACTTTGAAGGTTACGCTCTTCGTCAGTGATTCGATGACACTAAAGGATAACCGAATACGCACCGATAAGATGGTAAAAGTACAATCAAAGTGTGTGGTTCTGCCCGCCCCGAGCACCGCGTGAAGCTCGCCATGCTGTTGCGTCCAGCGTGCAGGACACCGCTCAGGGAGACATGGCCGTGGCCGAGGACAGATCGGACAGGTCGTACGCCGCTGTCCGCAACGCGCCTCCGCACCACCCGCAGAAGCCGTACCAGCACCCTCCACCACCGCGGCCTCCGCCACCGGCGCCACCTGTGGTACGTGCCGTGGCCCCTAAGCATGTCCCGCGTCCTGTTCTACCGGTACAGCACCACCCCCACCAGCCTCCGCCACCTGTAAGTCTGCTTGCTCACTTACCTCAATCACGACAGAAAATCTTGCATAGTGCTTTTTTTAAACGCGAAACGACATCTCAAGAAGGAATACAACCTAAAGTATATAGTCAAAGCACGACAAAGTGCTAGACAGGACACCAACTAGACCGTCAAAGCATTGTGCGGAATATTTTTACACAATGTAGTATATACTGCCAGCAGTAGCAACGAGGAGGTTTAGAAGAAGCCATATATAGGCGTGCACATTGGGGGGGGGGGGGGGACTTTTCCTAATCATCTAATCATTCTGCCTCCCCCCCCCCCTACGTTCTCCTTGACGTATGAATATAGCTTATTAAGCAATCACTAGAGTGAGCTGGTCGCCCATAGCTAATCGTGTTCGACGCTCTGTTCTAAAAGCACTCTATTTACTTCGCCAGCTCGCACCTCAGTCTCTACTACATCTGGCCCATGTGTCGCACAGCGGCTTACCCATGTCACCGCGCATGCCTTCCGTGTACGGTACCTACAACGCCAATGTACTACTGCCTAAGTGTTCATTGCACCAATTAACGTAAGTGCACCCCGACGTGCCGTATTGAGCTTAGCTCACGCGATCGCCTTCTTTCATCGATTGCCAGACACTCTTAACCATGTCTGAAGAATCATCGAATGCAGTTTATTCTCACAAATGTACTGCTTGCTGTATTTATCTATAAGCGGCAGCGCTTATCCCTAAGTACTTCCTGCCCCCTTGGACACGCCTATGGACACAATACGTTGCATTCAAAACAAAAGCGAACACTAACGGTCATCGTCCTTGTACTTTAAGCTGAGGAAGAGGACCGGAGATAAGGAAAGGGACAGCTATTTAAGCGAGTCTTATACAGAATATCAAGAGGTGTCATCGTACGTGAATCTTAGCCGCACACAAATGAATGGTAGTACGTGCCGTGTTTTCAAAGATTAGCAGTCTTTAGATAAAAATCGTTAATAAAGTTAGGGTAGAGTGCTACATGGAAACTAAATAGCTGGCGTGTTGATATTTTACCCCTAGAAACGACGCGTCAGCAATGACCCGGCAGCTTGCTTGCTTAACTTGTTCGTTTTTCTTTGGGTACGATCACGCCTTGGTACTGATGCATATCCACGAAAAGGAAAGTTCGAGGTTGGTCTATTAGCCAGCTAACTGCATATGCGTGCGCAGGCTTCTCCAATAGAAGGGGGGGGGGAGTAGTGGTAACAAGCTTCAACAGCCCTCCCCCCTTCCCCTAAAAAATGTGCCATGCACATAAAAACGAAAATGAAGCAATGGCACGATGATGCTACTTAGAACGGCCTGCCTTTGGTCACCAGCTTTCTGAGAGTAAAGACGGTAAGTTAAGAGTTCTAGGAATGCAACGTCACGTGTCCTCAGCTGCCATTATCACAGAAAAAATTGTATCTCCTTAAGCTCTGCACATTAAACAATGGCGCAACAGGTCAGGATGAGTAATACATGAGGATAATTTCGCCCCCGCTCCTCCGCCCTTGATGGTGGGTAGGGTGCTCCTAAGACTAAGTGTCTAAGCCCCTTTCTGTGTCGTTCATCCCATTCTGTTGTCTCATCTACATTGTTCTAACCAAATGAATCCTATAGAGGCTTTGACAAAGAATAAGCGGAGGGATAATTAACTGTTGTCTTTAATCTTGGTGTAGTAAAAATATCGTGAGTCGAAATGAATCGAATTGGTCAAAACGTAACCCTTTCCGTCTGGGGTATCCCACCGGTGGTTTATCGCCTTCGATTTGTTTCAAATTGTCACTATTAGTGCACTACACACAGAGACAACACTGAACGTCATCTATGCGTTCCCTGACATTACTGTTTGAGCGTTTCATTCGGTTAATTGTGCCTAAAACGTAAAGGAGCCGCTTAGGAAAAAAAAACAATCTCCTCCCTTTACGTTGAATTAAGGTGCCTCAGTTTCGTAGTCAGTGTGTGACGCTCCTTTCATCGTAGGTCGCAATGCCGAAGCCGCCTCACCAGCACATGAAATTGCCACCACCGCCACCACCACCCCCTCCGCCTCCTCCTCCTCCGCCCGCTTTACGCTGGCAAGCCCATGGCTGTCCCAGTGCGTCCGGTACAGGGCCGGCCACGCAAGCTGGACAAGGAACAAAAGCGTTTGCTGCCGGTACGTTGCAACCCGAATGCCCGTTACCGCACACACGACGGTTCGTGCAACAACCTACGCTACCCTTGCTGGGGTCGTGCGGGAGAGTCGTACGGACGCCTGCTGAAACCAGACTATGGGAACGGTACGTTTTCATGCGTGATGACCGCATGCGAGCTCTCATTTACACCTATCTATGATTGTAAAGAGCAAGCTGTCGACCTCAGTGAGATAATGGCAGATATCATGTCTTTACTGCGAAATATTTCTGCACTTCTCGTCTCAAAAGTGTCTACGTTGGTGAACTGTTGGAAAACATTTCCTTATGGCAGCGAGAAGTACTTTGGTTTGGGCTAGCTGGTTCATAGTACTCAATAATCCATAGTAATTTATAGTATTGATTCATAGTAATCAATAATTCTTCAATTATGTTCACTCACTCAATCAATCAATTGATCAACCAATCAATCGTGTGCAGAGGCGTAGCCATGATGTTACTTTGGAAAGGGAAGGTCCGACTCCAATAAATGTACAAGGGTCTGCCTTTGTATGGCCCAGGGTTCAACCTCCATACATCTCTGTGGTAACGCCTACACTATTCATTTAGAGTTTGCTTTAGGCTTGAAGAACACCCGTGCTCAGAGAAATTGTGGGTGCATGTTGAAGAACCCCAGGTGATCAAAATTTCCGGAGCCTTCCGCTACAGCGTCTCTCATAATCATATGGTGGTTTGGGGACGTTAAAACCCACATATTATTCAATCAATCAATCAAACAATCAATGAAATTGTCTGTTTCCCAGCTTCGAAACTGCACGCAGCATACGGTCGAGCAGTCATTCTCGACATTACACGGGCAAAGTGCGCGGTCCGTGTTCACTATCTTTCCTTACATACAGCGTTCCGCAGTAAAAGAGAAGTCAAGTAAAAGTCGAGATAACGTTGCATCAGTATTCATGATATTTTCCACTTTTGCATGTGTGCCAGTGGTGCGTATCGCACTTTGGAAAAGACTTCTGCGAGCTACGCTGAGAAGTTTAGAACTGGCCACCTATCGCATCGCACTCTCCCATAACCAAATTAAAATCTGCGGTGTCTTCGCGCCTGCTTTCATCTCTGCAACTTCTTTCATGATGTGTCTCTAGCATTCGCATTTTGCCATCTTTATTGCTGGAATAAGTTTTCTTTGATCTGGTGGAAACGCAGGGATGTGGACCAGCCGACAGGGCCCGTACGGCCGCAAGCTGCCCAACCCTAGGCTGGTGTCCATGGCGCTGTCTGGCTCCTCCTGGCAGTCAAGTGACACGGAGTACAGCTATCACTCGGACCTGATCGTGCACTTCGGCCAGCTCCTGGCTCACGACCTTACTTCGTCAGCAACGTTCACCACAGCCCAGGTGGTGGACGGCAAGGTCACCAAGGCTCGTGAGTCACTCTCTTCCTATCAAGTTTTTTGTTTTCTTTCTTTTTACCTCCTCTCTCTTGTTCACAGAGAAGTAAATGGTGCGCAGTATCGCTAGGGCTCGTGGACCTGCCCGAGATTTGCGCTGACCGAGTAGCTGCTTTGACAGGTTTCATGTGTTTGTTCAAGACACCCTGACACAAAAGATTTAGGCTCCAAGATTTTTTTTTTGCGTTGAAGACCAAGCCTTCAAAAGCCTAGAAAATGCACTTGTAAGCATCCATGGGTTTGCCCTGCGAAATCATTTACGTAGTTTCAAAATCCAGTTGCAGTTCCTAGCGTGTCCTGACGTCGGGACGTGGTGTGAATTTCTCGTCACAGGCTTACACAAGACATCGCGACGATACCCCGGCCTCTCCCTCCGCTCGGTGGACACTGCGAATCAGAACACCATATATTTTTAGCACAACGTCGTGACCCCACTTTTCAGAATGCCATCAACTTTTGCTTTTCGTCGTCCCAGCGCCCAAGTGCTGCGGTAAGGGCGTCAAGCCTCACCCGGAGTGCTGCCACATCACTATGGTCCACAAGGATGAGTTCTATCCCCCGGGCCACTGCATGGACATGGTCCGCTCCAGCCCGTACAACTCGAGCCGCACTGCGTGCCCCAGGAACAGCCCAGGTGTGTCCGACCTCCACCTATTTCATTGCTCTTTAAATGAATAATAGCAGATATAATGTGGCAGCGGCAGATTTTTTTTTCGCAAGTCTGGCAGTCATGCAGGATGCACGCGATGGGCTTCGTGCTTTTATATGTGCATGTGCCAGAGAAGCTTAAATGAGTTCTGACGCGATTTTGAGACATCGCGAAAGGATCATTTCCAGTCTCCTCAATGTTAACGTACTCCACACACCGGAGTCAGTCATAATGTGTAAAATACCTTACTTTTAGCTCAAAATTTCATCACAAGGCATGTGCAAGCCAGACCCTCTCCAATGGACATTATTACGACGAATTTGAACAGTTCATTGCATGGAGGAAGGAAAAACGTATGCCTCCTCAATGTTTCCTCCGTGGTTCACCGGATTTGGGAACTCTACGTCCTGCGCGCACTGTAAGCAACGAAAATCGATGTCTGAGTGGCTAGACGACAATTCGCTCGTCGTTGTTTACGTGCGACTGACAACAGATATGACAAACTTGCTGCCAGTACGTCGCGAGTTGCTGTATATCAGTGACGTCAGATTGTGCTTACAAGTCGCTACGAAACCATCCCCAGCGTATCAAAACTGAAAGCGTTTCGTTAAGTAATATAGCGGTATCAAAATATATTGCATTCCCAAGCACCATGATATATACTTGAGGTTCTCGATAACAGAGTTAATATCTTAAGCAACAACCACACCGACGACTTTGCTGCAGAGATGACGAACAGGCATGCCACAGCTCTGGAGGTGGATCTGTTATGAGTTTGTGACTATGGTAGTATATATTTGCTTCAATTTACATAACAACAAACGCATTCTGCTTTAATTACATCTGTATGCTGTTTTAGCAACAACAGCAACAACATCAAAGAAACCAAATCTCCCGATGACTATCTTGTAGGCTGCTTCCTTAAATGGACACTAAAGTCAACAACTTACGTCAGAGTGAAATCTCAATGTATGACATCTCAAACGACGATATTACCAACAACAGTGCCCCACTTACCGAGAAATTAAGGCAAATGCACGAGAACACATACGCCGCAGTAGGACATTTTCAAAATGATCCCGATGACATCAGATGGACCACATACATATAATAACTAGTAATCGATCTAGCTGCACTAAATAAAAAACTGTCCGTGCATCAAGAGACACAATAAAGTGCTGCTTGTTCGTTTCTGTTTGGTTCACGAAAAAAAAAAACCGCCAGACGTTACTCTGGGGAATGGCGCGAGTGGTTAAAAAAAAATTAATTTTCGCGTGGTTTCACGGTACAGGTAGTGCCATCTAGCGGGGCGTAGTTGAACCAAAAAACGTCTGCAATCTTGAAGTCAATGGCCGTTGTTGCTGCTGTGGCTCCCATTGCTTTCGGTCTGCTGCTACTAGCGCACTAAAGCCGGGCAACGTTGTGCACGGCAACAGTGACGTCAATCATTGCGGTCTGTCCGGTTCTTGAGGCGGGTAATTTGAAGTGCGCTAACCCGGTGCGGACCACTAAAACGTGATTTTATTTCAAAATAGGCCCTTCATTGGTACAAAAGTAACACCACGAGGTTTCTGGACCGCTATTACAACAATCAACGATGACTTAATAGTTGCCTTTAGTGTCCTTTTAAAACCGTGGCTAAACTTTAACACACCACAAAAACAAGTACAAAGGATAAAGAAGGAATTTTTAAAGCAACAATCAATTGATTTCTGTTCTTGCGAGCTTTGGGGGAAAAAGCACAACGGCAATGCATGATACAGCCGCTCAATCTCTCTTTTACAGCCATTTATATACATTTATCGAAGATTAAGGGGTAGCCAGCCGATATAAGAACTGTCTCTGTCCTTCCATCGGTTACTTCGTCTGCTTTAAGGAAGATGCACGCCATCATCGTTTACACTTGTCCTATATGGTAGAACTGTGGTTACGATGCTCGGCTGCTGACCCAAAGGTCGTGGGTTTGATCCCAGCCGCAGCAGTCGCATTTCGATTGATGTTCAGTGCTACGAGCCCCTACTGTGCGATTTCAGTGCATGTTAAAATAACCAAGATGAACGAAATTTTCCTGAGCTTTCCGCTACGGTACGCCTCATAATTATTTTGTTTTTTTGACACGTAAAAGCCCAGATATTAACACTGTCTTCAAATACCGTGTTACTGAAACGATATGTTAAGCTTCCGAGTGGATCTATCGTGTTCTTGCTTCAGCTTCACAGATAAAGAATGAGAGCACAGAATGACGAGACCTGCCTTTGACAAGAGAAATGTCTTACCATGCAGGTGATTACAGGGAACAAATAAACGAGGTGACGTCGTTCCTGGATGGTAGCGTCGTTTACGGCAGCAGTGAGGAGGAGGCGAAGAAGCTTCGCAGCGACGACGGCAAAGGAGG